CGTGGACGCTTTCGACGCGTCCCTCGGGGGTGCCTATCATAAAGCATTCTCGCGAGGGGTGATGGCTTCCCCTATTGAGTCAGAGTCAGAGATCGTCTCTGAATCTCCCGCAAGAAGGTCGTGGAAAGATTCCGCGACGTAGTACGTCATACCCATGAATTCATCATACATGGGGGACGGGTGCATGCACTGTGCCATGACGTGACCAATGGTCCTTGCGGCGTTGCGCTTTGGGTGAGGTATTTCGAGGAGAGCGGTTCCTCTCCGGCAAGCTGCATCATGACGTTGGCGAACGAGAAGGTCAGGCAGCGCAGGTCCTCCCGGGATGGTCGGGGTCCTAGGAAGGCATCAAGCTAGCGTTCTAGCCTCCCGTAATCGAAGCCAAGGAGCTAGTCGCTTCTGGGGGCACGGGCCTCTAGGGCGTGCAGCTGCAGCTCTTCAAGGGCCTCGACGGTTGAGTCAAGGTCGGTGGAGCGAAGAAGGTGGACGGGGGCGGGAGCCTGCGCTAGCTCTCGATTCATGGTGACAAAGAAATCTAGGCTCCCAAAGCGCACATGCACGCCCGAGACCCAGCTGACGCTGTGGCTAGCCATTCGTGGCCTGTTGTGAGCGACGAGACGCACAAAAGCCCCCTACATGGGCGCACTAACCGGGGTTTGGAGGACACAAGAATTTGTGGATTTGTGCGTTCTAGCCGGATGGTGTCTACGAGGACACAAGAATTTATCTTGAGCTCGAGCACGGAATGTCCCTACGTCCGTCGATCTGTTCTTTGTTCGTACACGAGGTTATCGCACTAGTTTGTTTGTAGGTGTTACAAGAGAGAGAGAGAGAGAGCAGGTCCCAAGTCTCTGGTGAAAGGGTCGAATGGAGTTGGGTCTCGTTGAGCTCGTTCAGCCGTCTAGCCGTCGAGCCACCTCCTTTGTGGAGCGTCCTGCTTCCCCTTTTATAGATGAAGGGGAAGGCGCAGGTTACACGAGAAAATGAGAGAGAGAAGCGAGGAGGAAGAAGGCCTCCAGGTCGTCGGCGCCCTTCATCTTCTTTATGCAGTCCTGCAGACCCTGTAGATGATGACGGGGACGGCTCCATGTCGCGGTCCTGTTCATCACTGGCGCTATACATGTGCGTCGTTAGCCAGTCGTGGCGTTCCATTCCGTCCCGACGAGCGGCATGGTTAGCAGAATGAAGGGGTCCGTGACGCCTAAGAGGGGGGTGAATTAGGCAACTTAAAATTCTAACTCTAAACTATGTCCTTTTTTCTAATCCTAGCAAAACATATGCAAAAGATAAACTATCTAAATGTGCAACTATGATTTTGCTAGTGTATTGCTATCTCTACCGCACAAGGAATAATACAATCAATGTAAATGCGGAAGCTAAAAGCAAGATAGAAATATGCAAACTCTCGTCGACGACTCCGGTATTTTTACCGAGGTATCGAGAAGCGCGTAAGCTTCCCCTAGTCCTTGTTGGAGTCCCCCGCAAGAAATCCCTCGCAAGGGCCAAGCTCCTGGTCGGGTAACTTTGTGGATAGCCTCGGGCCTTCCCCACGCAGTGCAAGTGTCTTCGACGTGCCTTCCGACAAGCCTCTCCGGATGCTCCCCGCCGTCTTCACTATCAAGCTTCCGCACCAAAACGCCGCATTGGCCTTGTTCCCTGAAAGAGACACACACGAATATGGTGGCCACACCACAAACACGGTTGGTGTGATCTCGCAAGACTACAAACCCTCCGATGTACAACAATGGTGCATGCAAGCACCGAGTGATAAGAGGTATGCAAACCTCACTAAACACTAGGCCTAAACCTAGAGCTAATAGCGCATAAGCGGTGGTCTAATCAACCTAAGCACTTCGCAAAGCACCTACGCTAACCACTTAATGAAACACTAAGCACTATGCAAGTGGAGATCACTAAAATAGTATATCAACACCCTTGATATGTTTCCTCAGCTCCACACATCCCAAATGGCCGGTTGGGGGTTGTATTTATAAGCCCCACTAAGAAAGTATCCGTTGGGAACGAAATCCCCGCTTCTTTTCGGCATCTTGACCGACGCCTTTTTTGAGTCGTCTCGATCGGACGCGTCGGTCGTCCGACCATTGGAGCCGCGAACAACTAATTGGATGTCGCCCTCGTCAGGTCACTTTGCCACAAACGTTGACGCGCTAAACCGGTACGTAAGTTCGCCGCTCTGGAACCTCATGGGGGTTCTACTCGATCGGACGCTAGTTGCTCCTGCGTCTTTTATAAGCATCGGTAGCTAACTTTTCTTTTAATTTTCATTTTTCTTTATAAGTTGCTCCGGCGTCCGTTCGCTTTCTTTGATTGCTTCAATTTTAGTAGATAGCATTGAGATTTTAAAGCCTCTAATCAAGCGTCCGGTCGCTTTTTTCATCAGTCTTTTAATTTTCGATCTGATCGTTCCTAGTGCAAACTTTAGCATAATTAAGATTTTGTGAGATCTTCATTTTCTTCGCAATCTTACGTGATGGCTTGGTTCCTATCTTCATGCTTGGACTTTGCTTGATATCTTGGGTCCTCTCTTGTGCTCCTAAGGTCTTGCTTGAGGTGTTGATTATCGGATCATCACGTCGCCTTTGTCCAAGTCACGTCTTGCATCCTATTGAACTACAAAACAATCACTTGCAAATTCATTAGTCCAATTTGATTGTGTTGGTCATCAAGCACCAAAATCCAAAGTAAATGGGCCTAAGGTCTATTTTCCTTTGCAGAGACCCCCCGCCGAAAGTCATGCTCAACACACACGGGGATTAGATAGCATATAGGTGAGGTATGCCTCACTAAACACCTACTAAACTTTGCTAGCGATGCGGTGGTCCAATGAGTCCTCGGTATATATGTCTAAAAGCTAAGCACTATGCAAGTCACGTCAAGACAACACCGCTACTTATTTCTCCCTTCCCAAATGGTGAGATTGTATTTATAAGTTTGACCTGCGAAATCGGTTCTTGACCCCGGAGTTCCTTTAGACCCGTCCCCAGTGGGTGCTTTCGGATACATCGGCCACTTGCCACTGATCCTCCAAATTTCTGGAACGGACGAGGGGAAACCCCCCTTCGAGGGGTTTGGGCGAGGCGAAGTCCACCCTCGATCGGGGTCTGTCGACAGAGCCGTGCCCTGGATCGGGCAAGACTTGGCGATGCTTGGACTTTGCTTGCTTGGGTCTTCTTGTGCTCCTAAGGTCGGAGGTGTTGATCACGGATCACGTAGAGAGCCCCTTGTATCCTAGTAAATTCAGTTCAAGACGAGCTCACGCCAAAATCCAAAGTAAATGGACTAAGGTCCATTTCCGCCCAAGAGATATATGCATACAGGTATGGTAGCAAGACAAAGTTTAAGACGGGCGCAGAAGCTCGAGCTGCTCGAGATGGACGTTTCGAGGGAGCCCATGCATAATTGGCAAATTTAAGTTTAACCACGGGTTGCTTTCAAGCGACATTTAATCCAAGGCGAGTTTGTGAGCCCGCGCCCTCGGGTCAAGGCGGCGCAAGTCGACCAAAAGGGGTCGGGCACGCTCTTCTTCATCATCCGAACGAGTTAGCGTTCGCGACCATCGGCTTCCTTCTTCCAGATACCCCCAATACTGATACCCAACATTTATAATGTGTAATAAATATCGTTACATAATAATAGTGAAACATGTTTTTTCTAATAAACACATTGGGAGATGCAAATGTTGATAATATTTTCTATATCTAGTTATAATTTTAAAAATAAGCTCTAAAAATTATATGAGCAGCTATTTTGGGACGAAAGGAGTATATATATAAAGAAAAGTGCTTAGTTACTCCCCACAGCCACATATGACAAAAATGTCACTGCTTGAATGGGTAACGATCAATTCTTAGGACCACATGGCTATGCATATAACTGTAGTCAATGACAGCTAGATGAATAATCAGGTCGACAAATTTGTCTTTCAAGTCTCAACTATAGCTGGTTGAAATGGACTAGAAATTTATACGTCTTGTACCAGCAGCACAACTGCATGTTCAACAAGAGAAAGCCCAAGGTATTCGACCGACCGCAAAGGACCAAACCAATCGACATGGACGCGAGGCTAATGTTTCAACAGCCATAGCGCCTCGAGTGCAATGAAAGCTGGGAAAAGACGAACGGTTCTCATACCAAACTTTCGACTAAATTGGCAGGAACGATAGCATATACTAAGCATATACCAAATATTGCCTTGTACTCCATAAATTGACCATTACGCTAATGTTTCAGAAGAGCTACCCTCCAACTTCCATACCATCTTAAAAAGCAATTCTCAGCGCCACTGACATAAGAAAAGAAGACTAAAGGTGTACTGACAGGTATGCACAAAACCATCGAGTGAACATGTGCTGCGTAGCCACAAGTAACTCCCCATTTTCTCAAGAAATGTAATTCTCCATCATGACTGGCTTCACCTGTTCCCTCTGAAGTACATGTACACTTTCTGCAAACATCAAGACACAGATAGCAAATGTTATGCTTTAGAATTATGTATTATTATTAAGAAATACTTCAAGAAAGGTCATCTGAAACATGGAGCAATGTAGAAACAAAAAAAGTAGACAAACATCACACCATACATAATGGTGTTATATCGGATGCAACAAAATTGTAAGACCAATTCTTATGCTGAGTCCCTACATATTAAGAAAACTGTATTTGTTCATCCAAATGACAAACTAAATAAAATAGCAAGACAACCAAATATATCATTTGGCAAATCAGACATTACAAAATTGGTAACAGTTATGTTTCTCAATGAAGCACCCCCACCATATTCTTCTAAGGCAAACATATTTTACTCAACTGTACATTAAGGAAAAAGTCTACATAATCCCCTGACAAAACAGGTATCTTGCACACTAGACTATTTTACTCAACGGATGTCATCAATTCCTGGGAGAGGTCAGCCTCCTTGACCCCTGAACGCGGGCCAAGTCCAGAACATCCTGCAAATTTGGTAGCAGAGACTGCCGCTATTACATCCCTCTCTGCCCAATCGACGCCACCTCTAAGGCAAGCCCCCCACCCCACTCAACAATGTTGTGGCCCACCTCCTTCCGTGGGGTCAAGGCCCAGCACTGGTCCGAGGCTGTTCGTGCAGGTCCATGTGGACGGCACAGAGAAGTGGAACGGGATAGGGTGAGTAGCTCTATTGGCGTAGGGGCATCCTGTGGTGGCCAAAAAATCACTACAGCGACTGGCATGGAGCAAAGCGAGGGAGGGATGAGCGGCAGCAACATACGTGGAGGAGAGCTGGCAAGGGTTGATGCAGGGACAACTAAAGCACGTCAGTTGCACCCTGACAAGTGGCCCAGGCCTCGCGGCATGCCACTGGCAAAACCACCTCAGGTGGTCATTCAAATGGTATTGCATAGTTTAGTGTGTGGAATACCACGTTTTATAGGTTGAGGGGGTGAAGTAAGCACCCTAAGATACCTTAGGGTGTATGTAGACTTTTTCCTAACATTAACGTCCATAAAATGTTTATATCAATGCGAACTTCAGACTTTAATACCAAAAAAGGACTGCTCATCTAGTATGTTGTTACACAATGGAACATCCACTAGTTTGCAGAAACATTGAAATGTCAAGGTAGCAAATTGATGACTGTTGAGGGGAAAAAACTTTCATACCTGAAGAACCCCAATGCTCAGCAGTGTCTCCAGACAAAACAGTGCAAACCCCACAAAGTAAAAGATCTGCAACAGGGAAGTATTGATTCTTATTATCGCCCCAAGATTTGGGAGACATCACGTATCTGATGCATTGAAAAAGGCACGAAAAGTGTGTCCACCACTCAGCTTACCCCAATTATCACATGCTCAGAGAAGGTGTCAATTGCAGCCAGAATACCACTAACAAGAATTTAAAAAAAAAAGTTCTGCATCAGACTAAGCATAATACACTGATGTTAAAAAATAGGTCAGCTATGAATAACATTTTCACACCATCCACTCAAGCCAATACGTTTAAGAGCATATTTACAGACCCAATAAAGCATATAGCAATGAACAGTTCAGCTGCTAAATTTGAGACATTGAACTGGCACATGGCCAACCATATTCTTTTAAAAGAGCATAAAATTAATCAAATTTTTGACATATTTCAGATTCAGACCTTACAGAGGAAATTTGAGAGGTTACATGACTGACCATATCTTTTAAAAGAGCATAAAATTAATCAGCTAACTGAGTTATTTCAGATTCAGACCTTGCATAGGAATATGGAAGAACTTATTTCTGACCTTTCACAGAAAATTCTCAACTATAAGCACCAAGTAATTGAAACTAACTATACTCATAATATGGCCATGGGCAGCCATCCAACAAGGCCGCACACACACGTCCAATTATCATTAATTGTTGTTTGTTTGGAACCCTATATCTGAAAATTTGGGGAATTATCTCTTGCAATCCATAGTGACATTGTTTATTATGAAGGTAGAAATCCATATAAAAGGGTTAGTCATCTACGGGTTATGATCAAGCAAGAATCAACCTAGTTTCTCAATCTATGATTTATTGATTTCTCCTTTCCCAGCAGCCACCATCACTGGCTATCTACGCAATGGTGCTTACCCACCCAAGCCCATAACTACTGATGGCTTTGATTACTTTAGATAAAAGGAGTGGCAAACTTACGTTAATGATTTCCCATGAAATACAATTGGTGGAGCAATGGCAGCAATTATGCAAAAACCAATGTGGATCTGCACCAGACATAATTGCAAAAAATGACCTCATCTGTGCTAAATGAAAAGTGGTGACTACTAAAGTAGTTGAACTGAAATGTTAATCATGCAAAATAAACTTGCAAATTAGATCTTACCAGGTAACACAGGAAAAACCATCCAAAACTGAAAGCACTGTTAGTCCTGTTTAACAAGTTAATGAGTGTCAAATACAAAGCATCATGCAGCAAAGCAAAGACTTATAAATATAAGCATCTTGGTTCCAAAAATGTATATCATAACTATAGTAAAGTTCCACTTAACAATCTTATACTAGAATTCGAGCCACATCAATGATTGGTGCCTAAATATAATAGGGACAAATATACCGTGCCTCACTAATTGGTACATGAAAATAGTCACTACACTTCCCAAGTTCGCATATACTATATTTACACAAGAACTTGCGTTGCAATACGCACTGATGGAACACTTCCCAAGTCCGCATATACTATATTTACACAAGAACTTGCTTTGCAATATGCACTGATGCAAAAGACTCTAGGATGGGCACATATTAATTTACGCAATTGCAATATGCACTGATGGAAAACGCTCTACGATGGGCTCATATAAAATGTACTACAACGCGAAATTTATCCATATTAAGGAGTTCCAAAAATGATCACGGCATACCTCATTGCACGGTAGAGTGGCCTATACCATATCAAATATGACAGAGGAATTCCAAGCAAAGCATAGATTGTTGCAAGGAAAAACAACTTTGAATCTGCAAGCATAAGATATGCCAACTATTTAATGCAAGTGCAATGTATAGAGTACACCAGCATTTACAGACAACCATGAAACCCACCTCCCTCCTTGATCCAGCAGACTATGACAGCAATGAAGTTCCAGGACAGGCAAAGCACAATTCCTGCAATTTTATATTAACACAAATCAAAATCATGAACAATCACTGCTAGCCACCTTTCAAATACACCATATCTAGTAGACTTGTACCCCTAATTGCCTGCTTCTGCAACCCCACCTAGATAAGAAAATGACTTGTTACTAGTAATCACAGTGCAACAAAATGGTCCATGCCAACATACCAAGCCAGCTTGCAAATGCAAGATACTGCAACTTCTGCACATTGGCTGGTATCTCATTGGCAATGTCATGGTGGATGATGGGGAAGAATGGTGGCCAGTTCTTCTCCTCCATCGGCACACCAGCTGCACCAAGCAAAATGGGGGGAAATGCCAACGATCATATTTAAGTTGAAACAAGTGACAACTCAAACACCACTGACAGTCTGACACTAGAAAGAAAAAAAAATAGTGACGCACCATTCTTCAGCGCCTCCTCCCTCCTCCTGATATCCTACAGCCACAAAACAGAAGCCATGAGAACACCACCGATCAAACAGCCAACTAAAAGTTCGAAAGTGGAAATGGAGGACAAAAAAAACCCCACCGCCTCTCGCCGCTTCAGATCTGATTCCCACGACGAGAACTCCCTCGCCTTGCTCTTCGAGTCCTGCATTGCGCGCCGACACCGACCCCAAAACACTGGGATTAGCCCACGAATAGCAACTGAGGAAAAAGGGGGGGGCAGCGTGTGGATGAAGCGCCTTATTACCCCCATGGTCTCGAGCGGGACGTCGACGACGGCGTCGCCCCTGCCGGCGCCGCCGAACCCGACGGGCTCAGTCGGCCGGAACCCGTACTGCTGCTTGCCGCCTCCACCTCCTCCATTCTAGGACGCAACAGCGACAGTTGATTAGATACTCGCCTAAAATCTCCAGATCTACCAAACCACCTAGGTAGGCAGCAAAATTTCCGAATGAGGGGGAAAGGGTTTTGGGCTCACGGAGAAGGGGTTGTCGTCGGCGCTGCCCTCGTCGAAGGGGTTGGGGTCGTGATGCATGCTCGCCTTCGCTTCGGGCTCGACGCCGGCGGGGGGAGAAGAGAGGAGTGCGAGGCGCGGAGGTGGCGCGGCGCGGCGCGGCGGGGCTCGGTGCGGTGGTTTTGGACTAGGGTCGCTTCCAGTTCAAGCAGTTTCTCCGCCTTTTTTCAGCCTCGCGTTGCGCTCGCTGCTTTTCACGTGAGCTGCGGAGCGGCGGATGGCGACACGACTGGGAGCGGGTGGTGAGGGTTCGGTCCGTCCCAACACCAACACGCGTCGTGGTGGCGGCGCCCACCGCGAGGAAGAGACCACGGGCCAGGGCCCGCCTTCATGCCCGTTTACCTGCGAGAAAACAGCGGCCACCTAGTGGCCCATTCCGATAGAGCCCGCAAGAGAATTCGTTCGGCCCCATTTAACTTTGGTGCTTTTCTGACAACTTGGGCCTTACATAGGCCCCCGAGAGAATTTCCTCTAGAAAATCGGCCGTGTCCGCGCGGAGTCCAACAAAGATTTGGGAGGTGACGAACGCGTATTGCTCACTCCAAGGAGCAGAAATTCGGGAGAGGGATCCATGGAATGGAACCGAAATGCCTCTCAACCGAAGCAAAGGTTCGTCGTCGCGATCTTCTTCCTCTGGCTAACCCCCGTCATCAGTCTCATTTAATTCGAGCCATGTGCGAGCTCCACATGCGTCGCACGCGTCCCCAAGCTTTTCTATCGTCCCGGACGCGCTCGGCAGGAGCTCAAATCTTTCTTAATTTCTTTCTTTGAGAGGGCAGGGGAACTCAAATCTTAGCCACGAGCACTTGTGTTTAGTGTTGTTTACGCTAACCGCAGGTGCTTAATATGCAACTTGAAATGATAGAGTACAGAGAAAATGTTGCATATACAGCTGGCTTAGGGGTTCCACGCACGACAGCATAAGTGGTTGTTTCCTTCTTCAGTTTTTGTGTTTTGGCTTAATATATCTGGCATTTAACTGTTTATCAAGTATGGCCCATGAGGCGCGAGTGAGTGAGAGGTTTGTGGTTTCTAGGAGCTCGATATCTGTGGTGGTCCTGCCTCTTGGTAGGGAGCCCCCTTGTGGAGCGAGATCCAAATAAAGCTATCTAGTCTCGAAGCAATAAGGCCAGAGATTGAATTGCCAAGTGGCCGCTAACGTCTTTTGGAAGTGGCGTAGGGACCTAAATAAACAGAGTGTTGAACGGATACAGTGGCGGCGTCACTGAAAGCATTGGATTCCACTGCACAGCTAGGTGTACACGGTGTACTTCTGCTTCCTCTAGCAGCGTGTGTAGAGGTAGAGTATGCAGAAGCTAGTTGCAGTTGTAGGTCGATCGATCGATCTGTAGCTATGATCGATACGCATAAAAGCTGAGCCTAGTAGATAAACTAAACCGGTCGAGCACGTAACTTGACTGGAAGTAGTTCTAGCTAGCTAAGCAATATAATGCCATGCTAGCCACATCCAGCTCGATCGGCTTAGTTTTATGGAAAGGTCGTTATTACTAGCATATATTATTCAAAGATCGATCCCCTGAGTTTGACCTCGATCAATATGTGCCAACGGCCCAGCCATAGCACTAGAGACGATCAAGATGAGATGAAAGGCAAAGATCTGGTACAACATATTCAATGTTTTCGTAGTGTTTTTTATGGAGTTGTTGCTCTGATTATTTTTAGCTGCAGCTACGGGCAAATCAAAGATATTTTTTGCGGGAAGGGATTCTATTAATAAGATAGCACAGTTACATCCGTGTTTACATGCAAGTCTCTGGAGACAAAGAAATATACACTAGAGTATATCCAGAGCCCCCTTAATAACAGCCTTCACCTCTAAATCATGTTGATGACTATCTGAATCCAACCCGTTGGAACTCAATAACGCCGACGATATCCAAAGGAGCACAAACCCTTCGATCATCCTTAACGACAAGCACCAAAACTTGAAAACGCCGCATGATCCAACGCCATGGGAACTTCCTATGACACATTTGGCACATTGAAAGAACATCCCGCCTCATCGTTGAATATAATCAAGGGACAATGTTGGATCTGGATGCCTAAATATCTACCCGACCGCAGCTAAGATCGCGATCCAGTGAGTCGTTAACACATAGATGCAAATGGGGAACTCGATCATCCCGCCCAGTCACATCTACCCTACAAAAACAGAAGCAACATGAGGAGGGCCATTGTGATCAAAGCGACGGCGGTATGAGGAGGCGGTGGCTCTGGTACATATGTTTGGCTATATATTTAACTATTCTCTCACATCAATGGTATTTGATGAGCAACTATGCTGTTGTTTTGGATTAAACACTACTTTGACCCATTTTATTTATTTCACAAACTCAGACAATAATCCTGCATGGATCGGCTTAGAGTTGGAGTTATGACAAATAGTAAGCATGGATGTTGGTCTTTTTCACATTTTTTTCTCAAGTGGATAAAGAGTGTTGTAGTGCCATTTGGACAACCCCGAGTGTGAAAATAGTTGGGTCACTTAGTAAGAGATTGTCTGGATCCATACTGCTTATTGTCAGTTACTAGAAGAAAAAAGCTAGCTAATATATAGTTTTTCATTAGTGGGGCTATTAGCTCCGTTTGGATTACCTAGCTATAGTTAATTAGTAGTATTAAACTTGGGTAAGACAGTTAATAGCTTCGTTCTTAGCTATGTAGTTTATTTTGAGATATTAGCTGGACGATCAGCTATGGTTTTTGGATCACACTAGTGCTAATTTTAGCTGCTACTAGCGGCTGGGATTCACACGGCCTCTAAATAATACTCCAATAAGTCTTAGGAAGTATCTCGATTAGCTTGACTAAAGTCCCGTTTGGATGGGATTTTAGAATCCGAATTCTGAATAAGAATATGTTTCTTGGATTCTGTGCATGTGTGATAAAATCCCGTAAAATCCTAACCTATTTGGACGGGACTGTGAGATTCTGAGATTTTTTATCCGGATTTTGAAAAACCCCTAAGAACCAAACGGGGCCTAAAAGAACCCTCAGATAGTTGAGAGACAAAATTACTAACCGTCGGCCACTTGCAAAGAAACTGTCGAGAAATGTTGCAAAAGTAGTACATTTTGTTGTCGGCATGTATATGCATGTGTGGCACGCTATAGCTCAATTTGTCGACAAAACGGCACCAATGCAACTTTGTCAAACTCAGAGATCAAGTTAATTGTAACTCTCGATGCGTACAGGTTCATATCTACTCCATCTGTCCCTAAAAAAGAGTCATTCTCGCTTTCTAAAAAGTAAACAACTTTTCGGAGTATTCGGCTGCCATTATAAGCCGGCTTATAAGCCATGGTACAATATTTTTCTCTCCCAACAAATCAGTCGTACAAATCAGCACAGACGGCTTTACGAGCAGCCGAACAGAGCCTTTAACTTTGACTAATATATTTAACAAAATATTAATATTTATGGTACATAAGTACTACCATTAAGTAGATCGTTGAATTTATTTTTATAATAAATTTATTTAAAGATATAAATGTTGTATATATTTTCTACGAAACTAGTTAAAGTTGAAAAAAATTGAGCAGCACGATTCCTGGAGTCTGCGGAGGGAGTAGGCCCGTTCGGGTGCACGAAAAGCTCTGCAAACATGGAGCACTGCACGCGCATGCCACGCAGTCCTACACAGTACACACACTACATGTACGGGACGGGACCCCATATGTCAGTCATCAGATCGACGGATTCTAGTTAAACATTTGCCTAATAATAAATGTGCAAGTGCAAGAAGTGTCACTGCACTCTCTTCTCGATCGGATCATCGATCCAGGGACAGATCGAGATGCCAATGTTTTCTGGCACTGCATGCATGGAACTCTGCAAAAACGGCAAGCAGCAAAGCGCACTACTACTACACTACTACTAGCAGTAGTTAACAAGAGCGAGCTCGCACCTACTACTCTATATATATATATATGGGTTATTTGATCGGTAACATTATAATTTTCAGAACTCTGAGATGTACCATTAAAATTTATCTATTCTGAAATTTACCATTACAATTCTTCTTCTACCTGATACTTGTAATTTTCTATATCTTTCAACCAGGTGTTTGGGGGGCCTTTGTCGGGAAGGAGGCGGGGCCGAGATCGCCGCGGGCCGTCGAGGTACACATCTGGATTCAGATGGACCAAAACACCCCGGGCTTCTTCTCTCCCTCCACTCAGCGTGTGGGCCCCACACGTCGGGTTCTCTCACCTCAACCTGCATTTCATGATCATGAGCATCATTCATCCATCACTTGAAACATGTGAAACATGACCGGATGCTTGATTCTTGTGTGACCAATATGTGGGATGGCTAAATATATTGTTAAACATCTTAGCTGTGCTTAGAAAGTCATTATGAACAATGTTCATGTTGAATTAAGATTTCAAATCATGGTTTGACTTGTTTTGACCCTAGGACTTTTTGGTTTGACTGTCTTCAAAAAGTACCACTTAGAATGTTTGCATGGATCAAATGTTATAAGGAACAAAAGTTGTTTTGTGACCAACTCATGAAAATGAGCACAACCAATTTGCCGTCCGACTCAACTCCTCAACCAGATCCGTTCGAGTGCTAATTAGAAATGTTGTAGCTCTCACTTCAATCTCCAACTTTGTTAACTTAATCTAGATTTGGATCGTCGGGAGGAGGAGGTGCTCTGAGTTTCGGGATTCGGCCGGGAAGGAGGTGGGGGCGGATCCGCCGCCGTGGGAGAGGGGGGGCTGGATCCATCCGCCGGGATGAGGTGGGGCGGATCCACCGCCGGGACGACGAGGTGGGGCTGGATCCACCGCCGTGGCATGGGACGGTGGCCATGGGCTGGATCCACCGCGGTGGATGATGAGGTGGGGTCGGATCCACCCGCCGGGGGACGAGGTAGAGGCGGATCCACTGCCCCGGGGGAGGAGGCGGGCCGGATCCACTGGGAGGAGGTTGGGGTTAGGTTCAGCCGGGAGGGAGGTGGGCGGGCGGATCCACCACCGTGGAGGAGGTGGCGG